AATATGGCATATATACACAATGGAATATTACTCAGCAATAAAAGAGAATAAAATCATGGCATTTGCAGGTAAATGGATGGAGCTGGAGAATATAATACTATGTGAAGTTACCCAATCCCAAAAAACTAAATGCTGAATGTTTTATCTGATATAAGGAGGCTGATTCATAGTGGGGTTTGGAGGGGGGGCAGGCGAGAAATAGAGGAACCATCGATAGGGGAAAGGGATAGAAACGAAAGGGAAAGGGCATAGGGGTAGAAAAGATGGTGGAATGAGATTGACATCATTACCCTAACTAAATGTATAAAGATGCAAATGGTGTGAATATACTTTGTACACAACTAGAGATATAAAAATTGTGCTCTATATGTGTAATATAAATTGTAATTCATTCTGATGTCATATATAACATTAAAATTTTAAAAAATATTTTTTTAAATAACTTCACTGTTTATAAATAAGACATCAGATTCTGGTTTATTTTAGTGGCACACCATAATTCTCTCCCATTACACAATTCTTATAGAACTTGTAAAAAGCAAAACCAAAAAACTCACAAAATTATATTAATACTAAAAATAATAAAATTATCAATTATCAACAGTAAAGGAGGTATAGCACACAAATCAAAATCCATTAAGTCAATAACCCATTATATAATTTTAACTCTCTATATAACTATGTTTTATTTAAATTATAAATTATTCATAATTATATACATGTAATAAAATTTTAGCAGTGATCAATGTCTATGCATCAGGAAAGAGCAATTGAACTTGCAAATTAGACACTCAATTCTGTAAATGTATTGTCTTTAGAAGACTATCACTTAGTTAAGCATGTAAATATCCCTGATGTGTCTGTAGATTGCCATATAAGATCCTGCTCTATTTTGTGCTTTTATTTGATTTTTTTAAAAAACTTCAAAATTTTAGACTTATGTAAACCATACCTGTGAATAATAGAATTCAGACGTCCTGCTTCAAGTGGTAGCTGTAGACGTTAAAAGTTTTAAAAGTGAGTTTTCTTGCCCTGTGTAGAATATTTTTAAGCTTAATTTCAATTTTTAATCTTCCAAAGCCTTAGAACATAACAATAAAGTTGGTTTATTTTATTTTTGTCATAATATTAAGCTTTGTTAAAAGAATAATATGTATTTAAAGTGCTGTTATTCAGTAATCTTAGAACCTGCACTTGTTTTTAAATTAACAGAGAAAGGTGTTATAGTGGTAACTTAATATTCTCATTTAATTGGTTTATTCTTCCTGTGAAGAACAAGTGTTTGCATGCCTGCATACAGTAATTCACAGCTTGGCTTTAGTGAATGGGTGAGCTCTATCAATCTGAGCATAAGTGATCATTCCTTTTGATTTCCACATCACCTTCTGTCATCTGGACTCACAGTGAACACATAGTTTAAGTATATGTTCATTTTCATGTCAGTGTCTTTGTGAAACATTTAAATTATTCCATGCATGTGTAGCTTAACTCATTGCTACTTTAATATGTACAATGTAATGATAGATTAGAATTAGTATTATTTTGTGTGCTTATTCACTTTTATTTGTTGTTTTTAGATATACATGAAAGTAGGGTATATTTTGAACATTAGACATATATGAGCTGCAACCCATTACAATTTTGATCCCATTCTTTTGGTTGAACATAATGAGAAATTACAGGGGTTGTTTATTCATATATGATCAAAGGAAACTCATACCTGAGCCATTCTACTGTCTGTCCTATTCTCATTCCCCCTCCTATCCCTTCATTCCTCTTTGTCTAATCTAATGAACTTTTATACTTTCCCTTTCTACTGTCTCTTGCTATAGGTTGGCATCTGTGTATCAGAGAAATCATTTGGCCTTTGAATTTCGGGGACTGGCATATTTCACTTAGCATGATAGTCTCATTTTCATCCATTTACTAGCAAATGCCATAATTTTATTTCTCCTTATGGCTGAGTAATATTCTATTGTGTATATTTGCCACATTTGTGCATTCATCTATTGAAGAGCCTCTGGGTTGGTTACATACTTTTGCTCTTGTGAATTGAGCTGCTATAAACATTGTTGTGGCTGCATCACTGTACTCTGCTGATTTTAAGTCTTTTAAATACATGCTGAGGAGTGGGATAACTGAGTCAAATGGTGGTTCCATTCCAAGTTTTCTAAGGAATCTTCATACTGATTTCCAGAATGGTTCCACCAGTTTATAGTTCCACCACTATGAAACATTGATCATATCATATGATTTGTTTTATGTTGTTTGGTGTAAAGTGTTTAAAATATTCTGAGTTGATATTTGTAGATAAAGTTAGAGAATATGATAATCAAAAGAAAACTCTGTATGTGATGGGGGATTTGGCTACACTTATGAAGAATAAGAGAATTAAACATATTGATCAGCAATGAAGTAAAGAAAAAAAATTGTCTTTTTTTCTGAATTGAAGGGAAAGTGGAGCTTGGACTGTGGAAAAAAATAATCTGCAGAAAATTAATAGTCATTGCAGTTGAGAGTACCATGTAAAGGTAGAGAAATAATTTTATATTAAAACTACAGAAAATTGCAAAGGGACCTACATTGCCTATCCTCATAGGTAGAGGAAAGAAGGAAGGAAACAAGAAAGGAAGAAAGGAGAAAATAATGATTAAAATGTAATATATTAAAATTTATAAATTTAAATGACTTGATAATGCAAACATTTGGTTTTTTATTAATATTAAAATAATCTATTAATCAGAAAATATAAATTATGTATTTCAATCATTATACTATCACTTTCATAAATATGAAATATATTAGACTGCACAATGTATGCAATTTCTCTTTTAACAGAAAAAGACATAATTGCTTGATTTTTCTTTTTTTTGAATTTTTTTTTATTAGCTACACATGACATTACAATGATCTTGGCAATTCATACATTTGAATCAATGGGGTATAATTTCTCATTTTTCTGATTGTACAGATTGAAGAATCAAAAAAAAAAACATAAAAAAATAATTGCTTGATTTTTAATCCTGTTTATATTTAATTACAAATTGTGATAGAACTGAAAAGTATGAACCTACCATGAATTGAGTTTCATTTCTAAATATGGAAGTTTCTAGGTCCTAAAATGGCACTTGTTGATTATCCTGGGATCTGTGACTGTCAAAATTATAAAAACATATTCAACATCTCTATCAGTTAGAAATGCAATGGAAAACTACACAGATACTTCATATCCCTCTAATCAGAATGACAATCATCAAGAATAGACACAATAATGTTGGTGAGGATGTTGGGAAAAAAGTACACTCATACTTTGCTGAATGGACAGCAACTGGTGCAACCATTCTGAAAAGCATAATTTAGATTCCTTAGAAAACTTGAAATAGAACCACAATTTGACCAAATTATCTCATTCCTCAGTTTATACCCAAGGACTTAATGGCAACTACAATTCATAGCCACATCAATTTTATAGCAGCTTCATTCACAATAGCCAAGCTTTGGAAGCAGCCTACGTGCCCTTCAACTAATAAAGTAATAAAGAAAATGTGGTGTATATACATCATGGAATACTACTCAACCATAGGAAAAAATAAATTATGACATTTTCAGGTAAATGGATGGAACTGAAAACTATTTATGTGAAATAAGCCCATCCCCTCAAAACACAAAGGTCAAAAGTTCTCCCTGATATGTGGTTTCTAACTCACAATAAGCATGAGGTGAGGTAGGACAGAATAGAATTTCATTGGATTAGAAAAAGGGCAGTGGAGGGAAGCAAGTGAGAATGGGAATAGAAAAGATAGTAGAATGAATCAGACATTATTTTTCTATGTGCATATATGAATATAAAAACTGTACAACCAGAAAATGGAAAGTTAGACTCTATATATTTATAATGTCACAATGCATTCTAATTTCATCTATAAATAATAAGAACAAATAAAATATAAAATAAAATTTAGAGTTTTTTAAAAATTTAGTGTATGATTTACTTCATCAGTTGGAATCATAGGACCCTTGTGAAATACACTGAGTATTATTAACAAATATGAATAAAAGGCTGATATTCATGCATAAACTACCTGCATACCTGCCAGGGTCTAGGAGACAATGCATTTTTATTCATGTATGAAGACATTCATGAGTTTTGCAATTTGAGTTCTTTCAGTGCTTCCAACCCCTATGGCATTCCATGTAGCCAATGGTGACAGAATTGCTATTTGGTTGTGACTGACACGGAGTCATAACCCTCAGTCTCACTTGCTGACAATAAAGGTTACAAACATGTAAACTGAGAAAGCTAAAAAAAAAAAAAAAAACATGCATACAAGTATCTTCTAAATAGCATCAAATAGCTACTCATAAGATTTTGCAACTGAGTTCCTTGCCAAGCCCAATGTGAAAGGACCTGTGGAGAAATCTTTGTGTTGTGGATAAATGTGATGGTACCCTGCAAGTTAATAAAACCATAAAGTTTATGTTCACCAGTTTAATTCTGACCTGAGAAAAAATTGAATCAAAGATACCATGTTAGACCTGTCTAAGGAGGAATCAAGAAAAACTATGCAAAAATTCACCATGAGGAGTCTGAGAAGAGAAAGAATGCTATCCTGAGGTAATGGGGAGGCCACAAAAGGGACTCTATGGCCTGCACCCTAGACAAAGACAGTGAGGATGACTGTCTCATGGGATTCTGATCAGAATGTAACAGGATTATATGCATGAGTTTGGACAACAGGGGGCACTGCAGACCAGTTAAGAGGGTCAGGAAGGAACCACTAGTGTAATGAGCCACCTGGCCCTGCCTGATGCTCTCTTGTTAGGGCTCACAGCTGTGATGTCCAACACCTCTAAGCCAGGCCTACTCCACTCCTGCACACCCACATGTCATCTTTATGTACTGGAGTCTGAAACAGGGCCCAGGGTGTAATCAGGAAACCTGGAGGAACTTAATTTGCATGCATAGACCCTCCCCTTCTCAGAATGTTAAGAGGTCAAGTGAGAGACTTTGGTGAAACGCTTCTCAGCTTTGGGAACAGAAAACAGCTCAGAATGAACTTCACCATGGCTTGGTCCTATCTTCTCCTCACATTCCTTGTTCAGTGCACAGGTGACAAGATATGGAGGAGGAATAGGGTGTGGTAGAATAGTCCTCTGATTTGGGCCCTGATTCTACTCTTGTTTCTAAACAAAACTTATGCTCTCTGTGTTTTCTCACTTCCAGGATCCTGGGCACAGTCTGTGCTGACTCAGCAGCCCTCACTCTCTGGGACTCCAGGACAGAAGGTCACCATTTCCTGCACTGGGAGCAGCACAAATATTGGGGATGGCTATACTGTGCAGTGGTACCAGCAGCTCCCAGAAACGGCCCCCAAACTCGTCATCTATGGTAGTAGTAATCGACCCTCAGGGGTTCCTGATCGTTTCTCTGGCTCCAGATCTGGAAACTCTGGTTCACTGACCATCAATGGGCTTCAGCCTGAGGACGAGGCTGACTATTACTGTCAGTCTTATGACAAAAGCCTTAAGGCTCCACAGTGCTCCAACCTCATGGGGAAGTAAGACAAGAATCCCTTTACCATCTGTTGTGGTGGGCGGGTAACACCCCACAGCTTTGCTCAGACCTGCCCTGTGGCTTGTTCTGCTATCTCTACTATAGGCCCAGCTGAATCTCATCATGCTTCTTTGAGAAGCCTCTTGTACTCTGTCCCCAGAGACATTCAGGGTAGCATGTTCCTAGGAAAATGTATCCATATAAACATAAATTTGTGTTCCTCTTTAGCTTGAGGAGCTGAACCAGATGGTGTAGTCTCTTTGTCCTGAAAATTAGGTGGTGAGGCAGTTAGTGCACCCCAGTCATCTTAGATGACATCTGATGGAGAATACTGTGGTTCCATCCTCCATTCTTCTTGATTTCCAGATTTTGTGAACTGTGCCTTTTTCCCCTTATCACTCATTCTGTATGTCTGTGATTCATGCTTTTGCCTAATTTGAGATAACTTTTCTAACAGAAAATATTTGGCAGACATTAAAACACCTCTATGTGAAAAGTTTGATAAATTTTGAGATAGTTTTACACCTTTGGGAACATCAGCAGAATCAGACAAAAGAATCCATGCCTCATCCAACAAGCCTCCTTTGCCTACTCATCAGGACCCATCAATTATACTTACAAACTCAACATTGAATTTTTTAACTACATTGTCTTTAAAATAGAATCATCAAGCTAAACATCCCTTATATCTCTGAAGATTGACATGTAAAAGGTTGTTTGATTTTGTCTTTTAATTTGCTTTTTCTTGAGGGGTGGTACCAGTAATTAAACTCAGGGGTACTTGAACACTGAGCTACATCTTCTGCCCTATTTTGCATTTTATTTTGAGACAATATCTCACTGAGTTTCTAGCACTTCACTTTTACTGAGGCTGGCTTTAAACCTGTGATCCTCCTGCCTCAGCCTCCCGAGTCGCTGGAATTACAGGCATGTGCCACCACTCCTGGCTTATTTACTTTAAAAAAAAAATCTTTAATCTTAGACTAATGTAAATTGTACAAATAATAGTATTTAGATGTTCTGCTTCAAGTGGAAGTAGTAAAAATGAATAGTGTTAAAAGTAAAATTTCTTGCTCTGTATGAGATATTTTTCAAACAATTTCAAATTTCAATATTCAAAAATCATAGAGAAAAAGAATAAAATGGTTTTTCTAATGCTTATTTTTAGTTGTAGTTGGACACAATACCTATATTTTATTTATTTATTCTTTATGTGGTATTGAGGATTGAATTCAGTGCCTCACACATGCTAGGTGAGTGCTCTATTTCTGAGCCACAATCCCAGCCCTAAAATTGCCTTTTTACTTTTGTCATAATATGAAGCCTGGTTGAGAAAATAGTGTGCATTTTAAGTCTTCCAGATCATTAATCTTATAACTTGCACTTGTGTTTAAATTAATGAAGACAGGAATTATTATTGCTAGATAATTTCCTCATTTAAATGGTTTATTCTTCCTATTAATAACCAGTGTTTTCATGCATCCATTCAGTAATCCACAGATGGCTTTAGTACATGGGTGAGTCCATGCTAGCAGAGCATAAGTCATCATTTCTTGTGATTTGTACATCACCTTCAGGCACCTGAACTCACAATAAACATACAGTTTTAGTATAGGTCTATTTTCACGTCAATGACTTTGTGGAATATTTAAATCATTTCATAGTTGTGTAGCTCACTTCATTATTACCTCAATATGCACACTCTAATGATAGATAAGATTTAGTGTTTACCATGTGCTTATTTTTTATTTGTTGTTTTTAGATATACAAGCCTGTAGGGTATATTTTAATATATTATACATATATGAGGTACAACCCATTAAAATTTTGATCCAATTTGTGGTTAAACATGATATGAACAGGAAAGTTATGTCTGTTTCATTCGATTATTCTATTGGCTTTCCTATTCTCATCTCCCCTTTACTTTATTCCCCATTTGTCTAATTCACCCTCCCTACTCTCTTTTGCTCTAGGTTAGCATCCACACATCATAGAGAAAAATTCAATCTATGTTTTTTGGTAAGAGTTTATTTCTCTTAGAATGATAGTCTCCAGTTCTATTAATTTACCTGCAAATGCCATAATTTTATTTAACCTTATGGATAAGTAATAGTCCATTGTATATGTATTCCACATTTTCTTTTTCCATTGATCTGTTGAAAAGCACCTGTGTTGGTTCCATAGCTTGGCTATTGTGAAGTGAGCTGCTATAAACATTGATGTGGCTGCATCACTGTAAAATGCTGATTTTCCATGCTTTGGGTACCCATGTTGAGGAGTGGGATAAGTAGGTGGTTCCATTTCATATTTGCTAAGGAATCTCCATACTGCTTTCCAGAGTGATTGCACCAGTTTCCAGTTCCTACATCATGTGCTAATTTTCTATCTGCATTTTTCTTTCTGAAACATTCATTATTTCATATAATTTGTTTCATGTTGCTTTATGTAAAGTGTATAAATATCTTGGGTTTATATTTGAAGATAAAATTAGAGAAAAAAATTATCAAAGGAAAACTCTGAATGTGCTGGTGCATTTGTGCACTCATGAAGAAGAGAGAATTAAGTCTCCTGATAAGTAGTGGAGTAGAGAAAAAATTTTTCCTGCTCTTTCTTAATTGAAGGGCAAATGGAGTTTGGCTTGTGGAAAGAAAGAAACTTCATCAAATTAACAGTCATTAAATTTGAGAGAATGATGTGAAGGTAAAGAAATAAATTTTCATTAAAACTAAAGAAAATCACTGGGTAACTATATTTCCTATCTTTCACAGGTACATAAATGAAGGAAGGAAGAAAGACAGAAAAAAATAATGATTAAAATTTCATACATTAAACTTATGAATTTGAATCATGTGATAATACACAAATTCGCTGTATAATTTATTTTTAATTAATCTATTAATTAGAAATGTAGTTATATGTCTCAATATCTATACTATCACTTTCATAAATATGAAAAATGTTAGATTCCACAATGTATACAGTTTCTCTTATCACAGAAAAAATATATAATTGCATGATTCTTAGTCCTGTATATATTCAATTACAAATTATGCTGGAGTTGAAAAGTACCAAACTACTATGAGGTGAGTTACTTTCCTAACAATGAAAATTTCTAGGCTCTAAAATATCACTTGTTGCCTGTCTTTGGATCCAGAATTGTCAAAATTTTGAAAAAATTCAAAACATCTAACAATTAGAGAAATGCAAATTAAACCACACTGAAATTCAATCTCACTGCAGTCCAAATGGCAATCAACAAGAATACAAGCAACAGTAAAAGTTGGCAATGTTGTGGGGAAAACAGTGCACTCACTTATTTTTGGTGGGACTGCAAGTTGGTGTAATCACTCTGGAAAGCAGTATGGAGACTCCTCAGGATACTTGGAATGGAACACCCATTTGACCAACTATCCCACTCCTCAGTTTATATTCAAGGACTTAAAATCAGTATACTACAGAGATGCCGCCACATCAATGTTTATTGTGGTTTCATTCACAATAGTTAAATTATGGAACCAGCCTTAGAACCCTTCAACAGTTAAATGGAGAAATAAAATTTGGTGTGTATGTATGTGTGTGTGTGTGTATGTACACACACATATGATGGAATATTTTTCAATGTTGAAGAGAAAGGAAATTATGGCATTTCGCAGTAAATGGATTGAATTGGAGACTATAATGCTAAGTGAAATAAGGAAATCCCCCCAAAAACAGAGTGAATGTTCTCTCTGATATGTAGATGCTAAATTACAATAAGGGAAGGTGGGAAGAAACAAATAGAAGTACTTTTATTAGACAAAGGGAAATGAAGGGAAGGAAGGGCTATGAGAATAGGAAATATAGTAGAATCAATCAGGCATTACTTTCCTGTGTGCCTATATGAATACATGACCAATATAATTCTACATCATGTACAACCAGAAAATGCAAAATTATACCCCATTTATGTATAATATGTCAAAATGCATTCTACTCTCATCTATAACTAATAAAAACAAATGAAACAAACTAAATGGAAATAAAAAGTTTCTAAATGTTCAGAATATGTTTACATCTTCAGTTGGAACAATGGGGCTCTTGTGAAATACACTGAATCATAACGAATAAATATGAATAAAGGCTGATATTCATGCTGATACCACATGCTTCCCTGCTAGTGCCCAGGAGAAAGTGAATTTTTATCCATGTCTGAAGACATTCATGATTCCTGCAATTTGAGTCCTTTCAGCCCCTGAGGCATTTCATGTAGCCAATGGTGGCTAAAGTGCTATATGGCTGTGAGTGACACATAGTCACAACCTTCAGTCTTACTTGCTGACAAGAAGGGTTACAAACACATGAACTGAGAAAGCTTAAAAACATGCATAAAAATGTCTTCTAAATGGTGTCAAATGGCTACTCATAAAATTTTGCAACTGAGTCCCTTGCCACATCCAAGCTGAAAGGACCTTTGGAGAACAGTTCTTTTGCTTGGTATAACCTAGCTGGTACCTTTCAAGCTAATAAGACCAGAAATTTTATGTTCACCTGCTTAATCCTGAATTGAGAAGAATTTATATGAAAGACAGCATACTAGACCTATCTAGGGAGGAGTCAAATGAACTGCATAAATTCACCAAAAACAGACTTAGGAAAGCAGGAAGGGCATTCTAAGGCAGTGGGGAGGCCACATGAGAGTCTTATTGGCCTTCCCCCTGGGAAGAAGCAGTAGAAATGTAGGACCGTCTCAGGGGTTCTGACCAAAATATAACATGATCATGTGTATGGGCTTGGACCACAGTGGGCATCACAGACTAGTCAAGATGGGTCAGAAAGTAACCAGATCAGTAATGAGCTACCTGGCTCTGTCTTATGCTCTCTTGTTAGGGCTCACAACTGTGGCCTCCTATGTGGACAAGTTCATGGAGTACTGCATACATGGCATAAATTAAAGGTGTCTGAGTGGCATGCCACTTCCCTCGTGCTAGGCCTGTGAGCAGCAGGCAGCTTACCCCATAGGCACAGCCCTGGGTGTGAAGTCATGTTTTGCAGTCCCTGCACTTGCTCCACAGCCAAATCCTAGATTGGTCGCTGAAAGGACAGTTAGCAAAAATTGCATTCGTGGCTGCCTGTAATCTGCTTAGCTACTGCCTGAGTTTATATACATGGTAACTGCATAATAAAATCAGATCTGCTACCTTCTTGGTCTCCAGACGTCTTGATTAGTGAGTCCACAGCCACACTCTCCTCTACCTTTTTCTAT